TTGGGATGTTGGGGGTGGGTGAGGGGAGGGAGGGGAAGGTGGAGCACAGAGCAGGGATTAGACACAGTTTGGGTGCTGGGGAGGGGGCAATATACAAGTAGGGAGAGGGGAATGGATGAACAAAGCAGATGGGAGAACAATCAGACAGGTCTCAATGGGCTAAGGTGAGACAGAGGTAAATAATGATATATGCACAACCTGGGAACAACAGCGTTCTGGGATACAGAGATTGAGCCATGGTTGGAATGGGGAAAAGGGGAGAATAATATTAAGATGCTTGGCTGTCTTTTGAATCTTGGTTTTCCTTGCATTATATTATAAAATAGATACTGGAGGGGGAGAGAAAGGAATAGTGAAAAGCATCACCATAGAAAGCTTGTAAGTCCGTCTTCTGCCTATAACTGATTGGAATACCTAAAATGGGGCTACAACCTGCCCAGTGAAGGCGGCTTCCTGCGGAGCCTTTGCAATACATAAGACTATAGGTGGAAGCCTGAACAACATCCAGATCTCCAGAGATGGGAAATTCCCACTTGAAAGGACAAGCTGACCAACCTGGAGTGGACAGAAGAACAGAAGATATTTCTTGAAAGAAAGACCTACAGGAAAAATATAAAACAACATAGGCAGACCAACTGTTACTACAAGAACAAGCAACTTGCTTGCCCAGGAAACATCAAGGCAAGTGGTCGGGTCCCCTCAGTGCAAACCCTCTTCCAAGACTAAGACTTAATGGGAATACACGCTGTGATTGGTGACCACGCTCGACACAGATAAGGGGAAGTGAGGGAAAAACAGCAATGAAGCGGTGACCTAAGCTCTATATCGTTCAATAGACTTCTGTGAGCCCGGGTGAAGACCTTGTTGGCCAGTAATGTGGCAAGACCTGGGGACTCTTGGGCCCAGGGTCAGTGACATAGCCACAGGGGACTAGAGTGGAGAGTGAAGTGTCCAGCTGTTAAGAAGAGAGGGCATATGCATAAGAACACCCACACTTGCAGATAATACCCACTTATCCTGGCTTCATTGACTGGATGATTAGAGCTCAACCAGAAGTAAAAAGAAGAGGAAAAAAAAGCATTCTCATACAATTTGATGAACTTGACCTACACCTATGGAAGCAGTAGCTCAAAAGAGGAAAAAAGTCCTTACAGCAAGAATCATTCCCCCCCCCTCCACACACAGAGTAGACAGGGATGGGCAACTTGGACATTGGCTACCCAAAATGGGGGGC